TTCTTTTCTTTCTTTTATTTACTTTTCTTTCTTTTGATACAGAGTCTCTCTCTGTCACCCAGCCTGGAGTGCAATGGCGCGATCTCAGCTCACTGCAACCTCCACCTTCTGGGTTCCAGTGATTCTCCTGCCTCAGCCTCCCCAGTAGCTGGGATTACAGGGGTGCACCACCATGCCCAGCTAATTTTTTATATTTTTTTAGTAGAGACGGGGTTTCGCCATGTTTGCCAGGCTGGTCTCAAACTCCTTCCACTTCAGTTTTCTAAATTATGCTTGACAAGCATTGCTTAATGTAATTCTTAAAGTATGTAGAAGAAATATTCAAGGCAAGTATATTATAAATGGGCAAAAGTAAGGACCTTAATGGGAGATAAGATTCTATACATAACTTTAATTGGTATAACGCTGATACTAGTAAATAGTGATATATGTATCATGTTTGTATATATAAGACAATGCCTAGAGTAACCATTAAAAAACTTATAGAAGGAGATAACAGTCAAACCCAGTATAGGTAAATCAAAATGACATTTGAAAAAATTTAAAAGTAACCCACAAGAAGGCAGGAAGAAGAAAATAGAGAAATGAAGAACAGAGGTACAAATAGAAAACAATAAAATGGCAGACTTAATCCTAACGTATCAATAATTACTTTAAATTTAAATAGCCTAAATACATCAGTTCAAAAATAACAATATACGTAGACTGAAAAGAAAAGGAAGGAAAAAGATATACCATGTAAACATTAATTTTAAAAAGCAGAAGTAGCTACATTAATATCTGGTGAAGTAGAATTCAGAGTAAAGAAAAAAATAATAAAAATGTTAGGAATGACAAAGGAGATATAGCAACAGAAATAGAGGAGACTTTAAACACTATAAAAGAATACCAACTACAATTTTGTACATCTAGATAAAATTGACAGATTTCCTAGAAAAGTAAGAATACAAGTATAAGCTGAATAGAAACATTTATAAAAGTGTATGAGGAAAACTATAAAACTATTGAAGACAATAAAATATTTTAATTAGTAGAGAGATACACCATGTTCCTAGATGTAAATAGTTAATATTGAGAAATTACTCACTCTCATTATATCAATTCAGGCAATTCCCAATAATAACAAAAACATAAATTTTTACGAACAAGCTGAACCTCGATTTCATATGGAAGAGAAAATGTAAATGAATAACCAAATTTTTAAAAGAAAGTGAAAGATCTATTGTAATTAAAGTAATAATAAAGATAGAATTTCAAATACAGACAAAATGTAAATATAAATACATTTGGGAAAATAATTCATTTAGGCTTGCTACTTTACTTTTCTTTGCAAAAATACATTCTAAATAGATTAAAGAACTAACCGTAAAAAATAAACCTGTGAGAGTCTTAGAAAAAAATATGGGAGATTGGGCGGGGTGGCTCAAGCCTATAATCCCAGCACTTTGGGAGGTCAAGGCGGGCGGATCACTTGAGGTCAGGAGTTTGAGACCACCCTGGCCAACATCATGAAACCTCATCTCTACTAAAGATACAAAAATTAGCCAGGTGTGGTGGCACGTGCCTGTAGTCCCAGCTACTCAGGAGGCTGAGGCAGAAGAATCACTTGAACCCGGGAGGCAGAGGTTGCAGTGAGCTAAGATTGCACCACTGCACTCCAGCCTGAACAACAGAGCCAGACTCCATCTCAAAAAACAAAAACAAAAACAAAAAATATATATATATGAGAGAATATTTTTGTTATCTTAGGTTGAAGAGAGCTGTCCTTTGCAAGACACAAAAATAAAACACTGTCAGATTTAAAAACATGAAAATTAAAATAAATCTTTTATATCAAAAGTACTGTGGATGAGGTTGAAAGAAAAATAATAAACAATAAACTAGATAAAGTATTTGTCATATATATAAGAATGAAAAGGGTAATATCCCCAAAAAACAAAGAACTCTTGAAAGTCAACTGAAAAAAGATAAACTACCTAATGGAAAAATGGGAAAAGGACATGATCAGGCAAGTCATAAAAGAAATACAGATTTTTAGTAAATACATGAAAATATGCATAATCTTATTGGCAATAAAATTAAAGCAATATCTTCTTGTTTTACCTGTCAGATTAAGAAAAATTTAAAAGATCATTGCCCGTTGTTAAAAGTGTAGGAAAAAGTCACTTTCTATACTGTTGATGGAAATATAATTGGCACAACCCTTATAGTGGGCAATTTGGCAATCTCTGTAAATTTACTTAGTGTTTCATTTGCCCTAATAGTTCTACTTGTAAGAATTTAACCTAAGGATATAATAGAATAAGTGCATCAAGATGTTGGTACAACATTACAGTGTTGATTATAATATAAAACAGTCTAAATTTACTAGGAATTATTTTTAGCTATTACAAAGGTTAAGTTAGAAAGCAGATCGTGAAAGAGTATGTGTAGTATGATTCCTTCCACATAAAATCAGATAATTGTTAGCTTTCTAGATATTTTTATGCCTATACACAGACATATATGCCAAGGTTCTTTATATGAGATAATGTCTATAAAACGTTTAGCACAGTGCTTGGCACATAACATTCAACAAGTAGTGGCTACTGGTATTATCAGCATTCAGTAGTCATTCAGTGTTCTGCCATCAGGCACTGTGCTAAGTACTTCTGACAAATAAGATAATGCTGACAAATAAGATAATGCCTTTGAGGAAATCTGTCTATCAGTCATCATCTCTTACCATTTGCCCATTCTTCAGTGTTGTTGGCTCTCAGATGAATTGTTAAAATCAGGGTGGTCAATGAGGAGTGTCTCATTTACTGTAACCACCAGAATGTTGATTTGAAATTATTACAAGATTTCCCCCTACTTCAGAGTTAAAACCACAAAGATTGTTTTAAAATTCTGTTCATTTCAAGATGAAGATGGAACAAGCTTGAATTCAAGTATCCTGGCAGCACTCCGAAAAATGCAAGATGGCTATTTTGGTGGGGCAAGGTAAGTGACCTCTATACACTCTTTAGTGAAATGAAATGAAATTAGGGGGCTGGGTACAGTAGTGGCATACCTGTGGTGCCTTTCTGTGTATGATAGTCCCTCCTTATCTACAATTTCACTTTCCGATATTTCAGTTACCCATGGTCAACCTGTAGTTTGCAAATAGGTGAGTACAGTACAATAGGATATTTTGAGAGAGAAAAAGAGACTGCATTCATATAACTTTTAATATAGTATATTGTTATAATTGTTCTGTTTCATTATTTTAAGCTCTTACTATGCTTAATTTATAAATTAAACTATATCATAGGTATGTATGTATAAGAAAAAACACAGTGTGTGTGTGTGTATACATATATATATATATATATAAAGTTCAGTACTATCTGCAGTTTCAAGAATCCACAAGGGGGGTTTTGGAACATATCCTGTAGGAGTAAGTGGGGACTAACTGTATCTTCAATAACATAATCCCATCCTACTCAGAGGGGCTAACTTTTGATAGACTGAATCAAGGAATTTAATGTTGTAGAGGAAGGTTGGAAGTTTTTCCTACCCTGTTCTTTGCCTAGATCTCAAAGGATCAGAAAACCTGTTTTGTTTTGTTTTTCTAATGCCTATTAGATTATTTGATTCTAGCTGCTTTTCTTTTCTTTTTCCCCCAAGTTTTTATTTTGAAAAATTTCCAGCTTACAGAAATTTGCAAGAATACTGCTGAACACCCATGTACCCTTTTTCAAGATTCACCTATTATTAGCATTTTGTCCCACTGTGCATTCTCTATTTCTTCCCTTCCCTCCCTTCCTGCCGTCCCCCCTTCCTTTCTCTCTTCCTCCCTACGTCCTCCCATATACATATGTATGCATATACACACACATGTACATACTACATATACTATGTGTTATGTATATGTATACACATATATGTACACACATATACACACATGCTTTTTTGCTAAAATAATTAGCCATAGACATCATAACTCTTCAACCCTAAATACTTAAGTTGTTGTTGTTGTTGTTGTTTTTGTCTAAGAACAAGTGCATTCTTACATATAACTGTAATATAATCATCACACTTAGATTGGGAGGCCAAGGCGGGCAGATCACTTGAAGCCAGGAGTTCAAGATTAGTCTGGCCAACATGGCAAAAACCTGTCTCTACAAAAAATATAAAAGTTAGCCAGGCATGCTGGTGCATACCTGTAATCCTAGCTACTCGGGAGGCTGAGACATGAGAATCACTTGAACCTGGGAGGCGGAAGTTGCAGTGAGCCAGGATTGCACCACTGCACTCCAGCCTGGGAGACCATGGAAAACAGTTTCGAGATTTCTCAAACAACTTAAAATAGAACTACCATTCTACCCAGCCATCCCATTACTGGATATATATCCAAAAGAATATAAATCATTATACCATAGAGACACTTACGTGCATATGTTCATCACAGCACTAGACACAATAGCAAAGACAAAGATGGGCATCAACCTAGATGCCCATCTATGGTGGACTTGTTAAAGGAAATGTGGCACGTAATGCACCATGGAATACTACACTGCCATAAAAAAGAACAAAATCATGTCCTTTGCAGCAACATGAATGCATATAGAGGCCATTATCCTAAGCAAATTAACGCTGGAACAGAAAACCAAATACCACATACCACATGTTCTCACTTATAAGTGGGAACTAAACATTGAGTAGACGTGGACACAAAGAAGGAAACAGTAGACACCAGGACCTTCCTGAGGGTGGAGGGCAAGAGGTAGGTGAGGACTACAAAACTACCAATTGGATACTATGCTTACTATGGGTGACGAAATAATTTGTACACCAAACCCCTGTGACACGCAATTTACCCATGTAACAAATCTGCACATGTACCCCTGAGCCTAAAATGAAAGTTGGAAATAAATAAAGTCGAAGGAAAAATAAAAAGTTACCCAATTATCCCAATAATGTTTTATCATGCTGTTTTCCCACCAATCCAGGATCCAATCAGAGATCACATGTTAGCACTTAGTTGTTATATCTCTTTGGTATCTTTGAATCTAGAAGGGTTCTCCAGCCTTTTGTCAATCTTTCGTGACAGTTTTCATTACATTTTTGAAGAATGCAAGTCAGTTATTTTGCAGAATATCTCACAGTTTGGATTTGTCTGGTTGTTTCTCATGATTAGATTTAGGCTATATGTTTTTGGCAGGAATACTACCTGTGTGATGTTGGGTCCTTGTTTTAAATTAGGATCTTTAAGATGGAGAGCACCTTTTCAATGGTTAGGAGAGGCACAAGATGGAAATAAAGATTTTATTACTTACAGGTCCTGCGGGTGGGGTACACAGAATACCTGGAGGCCACACACACTGATGTCAGGGAGTATGTGGAGAGAGAAAAAGAGAGACCCATGGGCCAGTGCCTTTATTGAGGTCCAGGGCATTATCCAAACAGATATTCCTTGGGGAGTTTTAATTGATGGGTTTAAAGCAAGCAGGCATGACTTCCTGGAGGTCACACTGTGACTTGAGAGGTGGTCACTGTGGCATATTGGCATAGTTCATGTAGGATGTGAGGATCAGTAAGGCTAGCCGAATAGATCATATTTAGCTGTCCCTTAGGGAGGTGGTTACCAAGAGGAAGTTGTGTAAGGCAGATATGTGGACTGACCACAGTGAGGAACTGAGGGAGGTGTACAACTGGAAACTGTCAAAGATGACTGAACTCTGCTTCTGGTATGAGAAAGTTAAGCTTATATTCAAAATAGATGCCAGGGAAACATACAATTGTAAGAATTTACTACAGTCCCTTTCAGTGCATCATATCAGGAGGCACATGAGATTTGTTTGTGACGTTATTGGGTGATGATAACCTTGATCACTTGTTTAAGGTGTTGAACCTGGTATCTGCCAGGTTGCTGCATATCCTCTCTCCAACGGTGTTTGATCAAATCATATTAGCTTCCATTGATCCTTGCATGAATTTACTTATTACTAATGGAGTTATTAAATTGTATTTCTATCATTCTGGGTACATTTATTGGTGGAAATTCTTATGTTAAAAAAGAGCTTTCCCTTCCTCCCTTTTATTTTGTAGTTTAGTATCAGCACAGATTCATAGATTATTATTTTATATTATTTTATTCTCCTTACTGTCATCACTGTTGTTCATAGATTATTATTTTATTTAATATGCCATGATCCATTTCTGTCATTATTTCAATATTTTAATTATCCAAGGTGTGGTCACTGATAGCCCCTTCAAGTTGGCCTCTTTAGAAATTTGGTAATGCTGACTTTGCTTTTGGGTTTTGTAATTGTCTTCATAAGTAGGAGACAATATGGCTTACAGTCTACTATAATTTACAAAATTGTCAAGTACCATCCTTTATGTTCCAATGGCCTTTGGGTATTTTTTTTAATGATGTGATGGGTTTGTGATGATTTATCTTCATTCTCTCCAGGCTTCTCCAGTAACCAATGCAAATTTTTACCAGATATTTGGCATAGTTAGCAACGTAATATATGGCAGTAGAAGAGAGCAAAACTGGTCTGCTGGTGGATTGTTAATCCATAATTGTAACCTTTATTAATACAGTCCCCCAGCCATTTAAGATGTATACCATGCCTAGGAGTGCTGTAAAATTTTGTTTTTACAAAATTTATATTAATATATGCACATTAGTAATCCCCCAACAAAACATGTTAGGTGTCCTTTTATCACTAACATTGTGTTGTTTAAAAAGGATCACCCCTGATTTTCTGTTTTCTATCCTCCTGTAATTTTTAGGGTTCAAACAGGTAAATTGTCAGAGTTTTTAACAACATCTTGTTGCACACACTTGAGCTTCATGGACCCTGGACCTGAGGGTAAGCTGTACAGTGAAGATTATGATGACAACTATGATTACCTGGAATCTGCCAACTGGATGAATGATTATGATTCAACCAGTCGTGGTAAGGAGGCTTCATAAAGCACTGGCCTGGCTGGACAAAACTACAAAATATTGTTTAGCACCATCCTTAATAATTTACGCTGCCAGCAGTCTCACAGTGTTCTGTCCTCACTCCTGTTTAATACACCTAGATCTCTACTTTTGTTTGGCTTTACTTTTCCTCCCTCTACTTATCTTTGGTTTCTGGTCTAATATTCCGGTGGTAATTGTGGAGTATGGAGTTGGACTGTCCCTTACTAAGATTGGGGAAGATTCCTCTCCCAGGCATTTGAAGTGACTGGTGATTTTGACATGGGAAGAAGCAGTGGTGAGTGACAGATGTTTAATCAAGTGTGAAGTAGGAAAATAATACATATACAATAGGGCTTTTTGACATTAAAAAGCATAAAAATATGAAATTTAATTAGAGTCCTTTTATATAATATTAGAGGAGCATATCAGAGTCTGTGCGGAGGTCTGTGTAGTTTGAAAAAGGCTATTCAGTATGCCTGTTATTTTCGTAGTACAAATTAGGCAAATACAACTAAGTCAAACTCTAACTGGCTTCTAGGAATACAAAGGTGATATAGTGAGAAAGCACTGCAGGGGCGTGAATTGAAAGTGACTGAGCAACACGACCCTACAGTATTAAAATACTGACTTAGGCAGAGCAGGCATTATGTTGCTTGAATCTCATACAAAGAAGGGCCAATGAGAAAGAATTATTTGTCTAGCCCTCTAAAACATGATTTGCCTGCTTTCATTGTCTGGGTATTTGACTGTTAGCCTGTAACTTAAGGCAGCCAATTTCTTTATCTTAAGAGTGGTATGTTGGAGAAAAGAAAAAAAATAAATTTTCGGTCCTCAGTGAGGTCAGCCAGCACAATCTCATACAATAGGGCAACACATTAGCAGTCAGAAGGACTATTTTCTTTTTTGGGCCTGATATTTACTCACTAAGCACCACTTCATTTATTCTGTATTTGTTTTTGTAGGATCTAAAACAGTTGAATTTCTTTGTTGGAAAAGTACATTAAATACAAGGCTATTTACTGTTATCAATAACAACCAAAGTCATGATGTCTTGGCATAAAATACTTTGAAAATTAAATGAGAAGATCATATATTGAGATTGTTTGCTATTCTATAGGTAGTTGTGATTTTTATCTGTAGTACTCATTCCATTGGATTACTAAAATATATATTTCTAATGATACATATTACTGAATTTGACATCATGGCATTCTGAGCCACTTTCCTACTTCCGGGTTTACTCATCAGTGGTCTCAAAATGAATGTATTTATTGCTTGCCAGCCCTTCTGTGGGTAAAGAGCTTCTCTCCATATTCTTCATAATCCTCCACTCAAGTTTCTAGATTATATTCAAGGTTACAGTCTTTGTCATTAGGATGTCACTGAATATGAACTCCATTCTTACAGCTCTACTAGTTTGCCTTAGTCACGTCAGAACACAGAAAGACATCTGGAGAGATCAGTAAATATCATCAAAAACCAGATGACTCATGACTGATATAGCAGACTTTGGTATTGATCTGAATAGTGTACTTTTCTAACTATAAACATTGTGAATATTCATGTAAAGTCTAAAGTACTAAGCTTCCACAGGATATATGTTGTTTTTCTTTCCATTACCCATACTCAGAGATAATGTTATAGAAGGTGTATGGGGGAAGGGGAGTCCAAGAAGATAGGGACCATATCCATCCTCTTCACCACTGAAATGTCAGTACCTAGTACACTGCCTGGTACACAGCAGCCAACAATATTTGGTGAATAAACAAATGAGGTGACTAGGAAGATTTTTGCCCTTTCCTGGCCCTTCCTCACAAAAGTCCCCTCAGATTAGTGCCACCTGAAGCTCCCTGTTCTGCTCCTCCTCCATCCCTGTCACCATTACCATCACATGCACACACGCAAATACACAGATTGTTAAATGCTTGCTCCAGTATAAAATAAGCTCATACTGCTTTCAAGAACCCTGACCTTTGTCTCAGCAAGTTGAAGAAGAGGTGGGTTCTGGTAAATGGCCATGGTCGCTGGATCTTAAAGTAATGAGGTTATATCATGATCACAAGCTTTTCCTCCATGAGCTAAAAACAACCTACTTCTGGTGCTATGTTGTGAGCACAGGAGCCAATCATTCTCTTTGCTGGGGTAGATTATAAAGTAACTAAAATATTTTCATTCTTTTCTCTTCCCCCTTCCCCCACTAACCTTGCAGCTCGCTGTGGTGATGAAGTTGCTCGTTATTTAGATCACCTTTTGGCGCACACTGCTCCCCATCCTAAACTAGCCTCTACCTCACAGAAGGGAGGGCTAGATCGGTTCCGAGCTGCTGTGCAAACAACCTGCGACTTAATGTCCTTGGTGACCAAGGCCAAGGAACTGCATGTACAGAGTGAGTAATGCTGTGACTCACCAGAGTCAGGCACAGGATGACGTGAAGCCCAGGATGGGGGCGGGCATTGATTACAATGTAAGCAGGAACTTAAGTTTTGTTCACTGCTTTATCCCCAGCATCTCAGACAGCACCTAGAACACATTAGACACTCAAATATTTGTAAAATTCGTGAATTGTGTATAGTTATGCTGCAGGTAGTGCTATGTAGTCTGGTTTAACTGGTAACATGGTAAGAAGAGGCAGAACAAGAGACATGGAGCATATTCAACTATAACATTAAAGTTAAAAATGGTAGAAAGGGCTTTTCCTTTGGGAAAATTACTTCTATGGAATTTTATTGTTGTTCCAGCAATGTAGATCTGTTTTGTCAAATATAATACTCATTCTTTAAAACTTTGCCATTCTCCTCCCCATGGCCACTACCCTCCTTCAGTTGTATTTACAGTGGAGGGTGTCTTCTGCCACACATTGCCAGGAGTAGTCATGGTTCCAAAGAGTGTTCAATGTCTCGATAGTAGCTGGATACGACAGGACAGAAGGGCTCCCTTGGCCACACCTAGAAGACCTGAATGTTAACATTCTACAGATGATGAGAATGACTGAGATGCATGCATTGCTGTCTAAAACTTTATTGACCATTACTAACCAAAGATATTAAACATGAACTTTGGGAATCATTTAACATTTATAATAGGGAAAAGCTTAGCATACCCTTTGAGTATGCTTCCTTGAGAAAGGGCTTATATGAAGAGATGAAATGTATTAAGTTATACTTCTCAGTTGTGAACCAGAAAACTTGAGCTTAATTCCCAGCTCTGCTACTTACTTGCTTGAACAGTTATTTGAGCTCTGTATCTCTCTTTCTGTATCTGTAAAGTGGTGAAAATTACAAATCTTTCCTTAGAGGTAATGGTAAGTATTTCAACAATGAACTGTAAGTAAACAATCTTAGGAATATCTCAACTACATTTTTTTTATTCCCTAGATAGGATTATCCATTCACGTATTGTTAGGGAAATTTAACCACTAACAGCCAGATATTCACCTAGAAAAGTTCGGAAAATATAAAATGCAACTGAGTTCTTTCTATTATATGTCGTATTCCATCAAAGTATCAGTGAACGCACCATTGTGGATTAATTACATTAGTAAATTTAATATCTTACATGTCCAGCTAGTGCTATAATTCTAGAAATTCAATTCAAAATATACTTATTAATTGCACATGATTTAAATTATCTGGTATTCATATTTGTTTTCTTTGATATTACCAAGAAAGAAGAAATTTCTCATTCTTGTTCTATAAAGAATTGACTCACATGTGACTTAATTGTTGGAGTCAATTGTGCATTTCTATTAGTCTCCTAATTATCTAATATTTCCCACAAATGTCATACTTTTGCAGATGTTCACATGTATCTTCCTATGAAGTTATTTCAGGCTTCCCGGCCTTCATTCAATTTACTTGATTCATCTCATTCCCGACAGGAGAACCAGGTAAATTTGCGCAAGAGGTATTTCTATCGGCTTTTTGAAAAACTGCCATCTTTATGGGAAATAATAGAACTAGTCATTATGGTTCTTGTTAGTAGTAACTAGTGGTACGCAAAATGCTATCCTGGTGAACTTTTACATTGGGCAAGTTTGTCTGGTCAGACTTTGGGAAAACTAGATTGCTGTATTATACATCTGGAAGGTTTCATTGTTTTTGCTTTGCCTTTCATTAATATTTAAAGAATTCCTTTGGAAAAGGTTTAGAGGTAAAAAGATGACTCATTCTAGGACATTATTTAAGTTGAGCACTTGTGAACTTAATTTCTTTTCATCATTTCTCAAACTAAAGGTTCCCTCTGTTCGTGTAGAAATACATCTTCCTAGAGACCAGTCTGGGGAGGTTGACTTTAAAGCACTGGTTTTACAGTTCAAGGAGACCTCAAGCTTACAGGAACAAGCTGATATCCTCTATATGCTGTATACTATGAAGTAAGTGGTAGATATCATCAATCTAGTTTAATGTTCATAATCAGAGGAATTACAACATAATAAATAGAGTACAGCTTCTGGAGTTTCGCCGATCTGGATTTGAATATAGTTTAACAACCTACACATCATGTGACTTCAAACCCTCAGTTGTCCTCATTTATAGAATTTGAATTATATATACCTCATAGAGTTATTGTAAAGATTAAGATATAATATCCACGAAGTCTCTAATACAATGCCTGGTACGTGGTGGGTGATCAATAACTGATAAGTATTATTGTCATTAGGCTATTTTTAAGCCTCTATTATTTGGTCGAATGTACAGATAAGGTTTTAACTCAAGAAATGTAAGAATATAAAGGTTTATAGGAAAAAGAAGCTAACATTTTTGTTTGCTATGTGTCAGGCATCCTGCTAGGTAGTTTGTATTAGTACAAACTCGATATGTCCAAATTGAACTCCTCTCTCCTGGACCCCACAAGCCCACACAAAAATAATCTGTTCTGCCTCCTTTTCTATATTCTACTCACCATGAAGAAGCAGGATGGACTTTCTTCCCCTAAACTTGGTTTGGATTTTGAGATAATGGTGACATACACATACCAAGAAGATGTGGAATATTTATTACTCACATAATGAGGCTTTCTGGGAAGAGCAAAGAAGGTTCCCAGCTTGCTCCCAAAAAAGCTTGAGAGCCCAGGGAAAGGAGACTAAATTGGGGGTTTTATAATCATTACAGGATGAACATTCTCACTGGCTTTTAGCTTTCTTTTTTTGTTGTGTCCTTGTTTGGTTTTGGTATCAGGGTAATGCTGGCCTTATAAAATGAGTTTGGAAGAACTCTCCCCTTTTCCTTTTTTTTTTTGAATAGTTTGAAAATAATTAGTATTAGTTCTCTAAACATTTGGTACAGTTCAGCAGTGAAACCATCTGGTCCTGGGCTTCCCTCTGAGGGAAGACTTTATTACTGATTCAATCTCCTTTGTTATTGATCTATTCAGATTTTCTATTTCTTCATACTTCAATCTTGGTAGATTGTATGTGTTCACAAATGTATCCATTTCTTCTAGGTTTTCCTACTTGCTGGCATGTAATTGTTCATAACAGTTTCTAACAATTCTTTGTATTTCTGTGGTATCAGTTATATCTCATCTTCTTTTTTTAATTTTGAGGCGAGGTCTTGCTCTGTTGCCCAGGCTGGAGTGCAGTGGCATGATCACGGCTCACTGCAGCCTTCACTGCCCAGTCTCAAGTGATCCTCCCACCTCAGCCTCCTGAGTAGCTGGTACCACAGGTGTGTGCCACCATGCCCGGCTAAATGTTTTTTTAATTATATATAGAAATGAGGTCTTACTATGTTGCCCAGGCTATATATCTCCTTTTCATCTCTCATTTTATTTATTTGGGTGTTCTTTCTTTTTCTCTTTGTCTAGCCAAAGCTTTGTTGATTTTGTTTATCTTTTCAAAAAAAAAAAATCAGCTCCTCATTTTGTTAATCATTTGTATTGCTTTTTTAGTCTCTATTTTGTTTATTTCCACTCTGATGTTTATTGTTTCTTTCCTTTTACTAATTTTGGGTTTGGTTTGTTCTTGTTTTTCTAGTTCCTTTAGGTGTAACATTATGTTGTTTATTTGAGATCTTTATACTGTTTGATATATGCATTCATTGCTATAAACATCTCTCTTAGAATAGCATTTTCTGTATCCCATATCTTTTGGTATGTTGCATTTCCTTTTCATTTGCCTAAAGAAAATTTTGTAATTTCCCTCTTAATTTGTTCAGTGACCCCCTTGGTTGTTTAGGAGCATGTTTAATTTCCTTGTATTTGTACAGTTTCTGTGGTTTCTCCTGTTATTGATTTCTAATTTTATATCATTGTGATCAGAAAAGATACTTGATATGATTTTGATCTTCTTCAATTCGTTAATACTTGTTTGTGGCCTAATATATAATCTACCCTGCAGAATGTTCCATGTAAAGTTGAGAATAATGTGCATTCTGTAGCTTTTGGATGGAATGTTCTGTAAATATCAATTAGGTCCATTTGGTCTAGTGTACAGTTTAAATCCAATGTTTGTTGATTTTCTGTCTATGTGATCTGTCCATTACTGAAAATGGGCTGTTGAAGGCCCCTACTATTATTGTATTGTGATCTATCTCTCCCTTTAGGTACGTTAATATTTGCTTTATATACTTAGGTGCTCCAATGTTGGGTGCATATACATTTACAATAGTTAAATCCTCTTGCTTAACCGACCCCCCTTATCATTATATAGTGACCTTCTATATCACTTTTTAGTTTTTTACTTAAAGTCTATGTTTTTAAGACAGTCTTGCTCTGTCAGCCAGGCTGGAGTGTAGTGCCATGAATATGGCTCACTGCAGTCTCAAACTCCTGGGCTCAAGTGATTCTCCCACTTCAGTTTCCTGAGTAGCTGGGACCACAGGTGCATGCCACCATGCCCAGCTAATTTTTATTTATTTATTTTATTTATTTATTTATTTTTGCAGAGCTGGCATCTGGCCATGTTGCCCAGGCTGGTCTCAAACTATTGGGCTCAAAGCATCCTCCTGCCTCAGCCTCCCAGAATGCTGGGAGTTACAGGTGTGAGCCACAGCACCTGGCCCTGAAAGTCTGTTTTATCCAAGTAGAGTTACGTCTGTTGTCTTTTGGTTTCCATTTGCATGGAATATCTTTTTTCCATCCACTCACTTTTAGTCCATGTGTGTCCTTACAGGTGGAGCGAGTCTCTTTTAAGCAGCATATAGTTGGTTCTTGCTTTTTTTATTCATTAAGCTACTCTGCTTTTTAATGGGATAACTTAATCAATTCACATTAAAGGTAATTATTGGTAGGTAAGGACTTACTACTGCCATGTAATTAATTGTTTTCCAGTTGTTTTGTAGAGTCCTTCCGTCCTTCCCCCCTCCTTCTTTCCTTCCTTCCCCCCTCCTTCTTTCCTTCCTTCCCCCCTCCTTCTTTCCTTCCTTCCTTTCTTTTTTATTTCTTTCTTGCTATCTGTCTTTATAGCTAAGTGATTTTCCTTCATAATTGTTTTGATTTTTTGCTTTTTATTTTTACCATATCTATTATATGTTTTTGCATTGTGCTTACCATGAGGCTTACAAAAAGTCTTAACAATTTAACTGTGATTACAATAAAAGAGAAGAAAAAAACTCTTTAACTCCACCTCCCAACATTTTGAGTTTTTGATGTCACAATTTATAATTTTTATATTGCATATCCCTTAACAAATTATTGTAGTTACTGTTTTTAATAGTTTTGTCTTTTAACCTTCATACTAAAGATGTAATTTACACACCATCATTAGATTAATAGAGTATTCATATGACTGTGTACTCAGTGACATATATTTTCAGATGTTTTCATATTACTCATTAATGTCTTTTTCTTTCATCTCGAAGAACTCCCTTTAGCATTTCTTGTAAAACAGGTCTGATGGTTATGTATTTCCTCAGCTTTTGTTTGTCTGGAAAAGTCTATATCTTCTTCATTTCTGAAGTATTCTTGGCCGGCAGTTTTTTCCCTTCAGCATGTTGAATACCTCATCTCACTGTCTCCTGGCGTATAAGATTTCTGCTGAGAAGTCTGCTGTTAGGCTTATTAAGATTCCCTTGTCATCACACACTTTGGCCTGTTGTGGGGTGGGGGGAGTGGGGAGGGATAGCATTAGGAGATATACCTAATGTAAATGACGAGTTAATGGGTGCAGCACACCAACATGGCACATGTATACATATGTAACAAACCTGCACGTTGTGCACATGTACCCTAGAACTTAAAGTATAAAAAGCAAAAAAGATTCCCTTGTATGTTATTTGCTTCTTTTTTCTCACTGCTTTCAGGATTCTCTCTTTGTCTTTGATCTTCGACATTTTTATTATAATAGGTTGTGACATAGTCTTATTTGGAGTAGAATTTATTTTCAAATATTTATCTTCCTATTGAACATGTCTAAAATCAAATTCACTGTCTTTACCACAAACCTACTGCTATTGTCTTTCCTGACTCTATTCTTGTTATCATCATTCCTTCAAGTAACCCAGACTTGAAATTGTGTCATTATCTTCAATTCCTCCTCATCCCCTGCCTCCCGCTACAGTATTAGCACTACCATAGGGAATCATTGGCCAAATCTAAATCCTCTATGATTTGACTTTCAACCTTTATTTACCATTACTCTTCCCTTACAATGTGAATGCTGTCACCAAAACAGTCTATTTATCATACTCAAAACACAGCCTCTACATGTCTACCTTCATACCTTGATTCTTATTTTTTCCTCTGCCTAGAATACTCTCCTTAACCACACTCCATTTCTACCTTTTGCATATCTCTCTGTCAAGGCCTAGGTCATCTGTCACCCACATGAAACTTTCTCCAATCTCTAGTAGTAAAAATAAACTTCCACTGATTCTGAGATCTCATAGCACTTTTTTCATATCTTTAAAATTTGACAATGTCAGACTTAGAGAAAAGTTGTGAGGATAGTACAATAAAAATTCTGGATAGCCCTCATCCACATTCATCAGATGTTTCCACTGAGCTTTTAATCTCTCTCTGTTTCACATTGATACCATCATCTATACTCAATCACACACACATATATTATTTTTTTCTGAACCATTTGAGAATAAGTGGCAGACATGATCCCCATCTAACCCTAAATAATTCAGTGTTCATTTCCAAAAAATTAGGAACTCTCCTACATAAGCACAGTATAATTGCCAATGTCAGGGAATTGTTTAACATTAAACCAATACTATTAACTATCTACAGATACTGTTAAGATTTGTCATATAGCCCAATAGTGTCTTTATAGCAAAAGAACATCTAAAATCATGCATTTTATTGAGTTCTCATGTGTCTTGAGTCTCCATTTATCTGAAACAGTTCCTGAGTCTTCATTTTTCATGTTATTAACATTTGTGAAAATACAAACCAGTTATTTTGCAGAATGTCCCTCAATTTCAGTTTATGTGATATTTCCTCATGATTAAATTCAGATTATACATTACTAACATAATGCCAAGTTCTTTTCCATGTGTCATATCATAGTGTTGATTAGTCCCATTGCTGATACTATAAACTTTGATCACTTGGTTTGATCATTTGGTTAAGGTAGATTCTTCCATGTACCTACACCATAAAGTTATTATGTCACCTTTTGAAATTAAAAAAGTATCTTGTAGAGATGTACTTTAAGACTATGTAAATATACTGTTACTCTTCAAACTTTCGCTCACTGATTTTTTCATCCATTAATGACTTCCTATAGCACATTTTATTTCGCTTTTTTAATTTAATATATTGAATAGATATATTCCCATGGTTCAAAAATTTTCAAGTACAAAAGAATATACAGTGAAAGAGTAAAATGTCTTTCTCCCATCTCTGTTCCCCCAGATACCCAGTTCCCCTTCTCATGAGCAGTCGTCGTGTGTGTGTGTGTGTGTGTCTGTGTGTGTGTGTGTGTGTGTGTGTGTGTGTGTCCTCCCATGGACATTTATGGTTACGTAGGTAAACACAGACATATATGTGGATACTTTTACCCCTATTTATCCAAAAGGTAGCATAGTATATGCACGGCTCTGTACCTTGCTTTCTTTCACTAAAACTATGTATCTTGATAATCACTACATATATATTCCAATTATCTGTTGCTTCATAACAAATCACTCTGAAACTCAGTAGCTTAAAATAACAAAAATTTAAAATTTTTAAAATTATCTTTCACAGTTCTGGGACTTGCCTGTGTTCAGCCAGGCAGTTCTCACCTGAGATCTCTCATTTAGTTTTGGTCAACAATGTCTGGGGCTGGAATCTTCACAATGCTTGCTCACTCATATGTCTAGGGGTTGGTACTGACTGTTGGCTAGAACCTCAGCTGAGGTTATATACAGCTGGTATACCGCAGATGACCTCCTCATATGTCTCCCCACATCTTCACAGCATGATGACTAGGTTCTACTAGTAAGTGTCCCAGCTGGGAGCTGTATTACTTTGTATAGCCTAGCCTCAGAAATTATGTAAGTCACTTTTGCCTTAATCACAAGCATGCCTGGGTTCAAGGGAAGGGAACACAGAAACCATCTCTTCATGGGAGGAGTGTGAGAGTCACATTGTAAGAAGAGTAGGTTAGATAGGAAATTGTTGCAGCTATTGTTGAAAATATAATACCACAGTCTAGATCTACTTCATATTTTCTTAATAATTGTTTGCCATTCCATTATTTGAATATATCATAATTTACTTAGCCAGTCTCTTATTGATGAACATTTGAATTGTTGCCAGAATTCACAGTCACAAAAATGCTATAGCAAATAGCCTCATGGCACATAGCATTTCACGTGTGTGAAATTTATCCTGCAAGTAAACCAGAACTTGAATTGATAGATCAAAAAATAGGTATTTTTTAACTGTACAATTAAATGGTTTTTAATGTATTCACATTGTTGTGCATTCTTCACCACTATTCATTTTAGAACATTTTCATTACCCCAAAAAGAAACCCCACTTCCTTTATGCGTCAACCCCCAATCCCTCCATCCCCCCAGCCCTAGGCAGCCACTAATCTACATTCTGTCTGTATAGATTTGTTTGCTTGGGACATTTTATGTAAATTGAGTCTTGCAATATGTGGTCCTTTATGACAGGCTTCTTTCATTTAACATAATATTTTCAAGGTTCATCTGTGTTGTAACATGTATCAGTACTTCATTCTTTTATTTCCAGATATTATAACCTGTATAAATATAACACATTTTATTTATCCATTCATCAGATGATGGACATTTGGGTTCTTTCTACTTTTTGGCTATTATGAATAATGCTGGTATAAACATTCATGTACAAGTTAATGTGGACATATGTTTTTATTTCTATTGGCTATATAACTAGTAGTGGAAATGCTGGATTCTATGGTATTCTGTATTTAACCATGTTAGGAATTGCCAGGCTGATTTTAAATATTTTCATTATTGATATATATTTACAAATAGCTCTCCAGAGGAATTGTCCAATTTTTATTCTGATCAGCAGCATATTGATGGTGCCTGTTTTCTCAAAGCCTCACCAAAACAGTGTTATCAAATTTAGGGGCTTTTGACAATCTGATAGGTTAAAAATGTTATCTTGGCATAGTGCTAAGTTAAAGTTTCTCTATGAGTGAGGTTGAGCACCTTTTCCTATCTTTAAAAGCCATCTGTTTGTTTTGCCAGCAATATTTGTTTTGCCAGGTTTTCTTTTGTTAATTTTTGTAATCTACATGTTGGAGTTCTTTATATGTAAGGGAAATTATCCTATGAATTGCAAACATTTTTTCCTCATTTGTAATTTGTCATATGACTTTCCTTACAGTGGTTTTTGAAATAATTCTTTTGTTAAATCTTTGTCTTTAATTTCAACTATATTGAAGCCCATGAATAGGGTAAAAGAATGCATTTTGTCAAAAGCACAGCTGAAACTAAGACTTATTCTTGTCTAGGTACTGGCTTTCAGGGCTGACTGTTAATCATAGTTTTATAAGAATTCTTGGTAAATTGCATTGATTTCCTAGTGAGAGAGACTTATCAAAAACAGGCATATTCATTATAACACTGAAAGAAAAGATGATTGCCAGAGGCTTTACTTATAACTGATGTAGTCCCGTCTTTAAAATTCTAGAGGACCTGACTGGAACACTGAATTGTATAATGAAGGGAGTGCTACAGTCAGAGAGCTTCTTACCGAGCTGTATGGCAAAGTGGGAGAAATTCGTCACTGGGGCCTGATTCGATACATTTCTGGGATCTTAAGGAAGAAAGTGGAAGCACTTGATGAGGTACTATAAATTCTTGAATTTATACCAAATCTAAATAACAGTGCTTTTTAAAAATTGATTTCTATAATTGTTTTTTAAAACAACCGTAGCCTCTAACCATTTGAGATGTCTTTTCCACATAAAATTTAATATTCAATTCTTTTTGTTTGTGAATGACAAGTAATAATTGTAGATTTATAAAATGTTATAAACCATAACATCTTTATAATGATATTAAGAATTCTATATCTTAAGAATGAATTTACCCTAGGTTCCTACCTCCTAGAAAGGGAAACGTCCATACACCATTAGTGGGAATGGAACTTAGTATAGCCACTTACGGAAAACAGTATGGAGGTTCATCAAAAAACTAAAAGTAGAACTACCATGGGATCCAGCAGTCCAACTACTGGGTATATATCAAAAAGAAAGGAAATCAGTATATGCGAGAGATAATCTACAATTCCCATGTTTATTGTGGCACTATTCCCAATAGCAAAGGTATGGAATAAACCTAAATGTCCATCAGAAAATGAATAGATGAAGAAAATGTGGTATATATACACAATTGGATATTATTCTGCATTAAAAAGAGTGAAACCCTGTCATTTACAGTAACATGAATGGAACTGGAGAGCACTATGTTAGGTGAAATAACCCAGGCACAGAAAGACAAATACCACATGTTCTCACTCATATGTGCGAGCTTAAAAAGTTGATCTCATAGAGGTAGAGAGTAGAATGATTGATACCAGAAGCTGGGAAGGGTAGTCGGGAGTGGGGGACAAAGAAAGATTGTTTAATGGGCACGAAAATACAATTAGATTGAAGGAATAAGATCTAGTGTTTAGTGTCACAATAGGGTGACTATAGTTAACAATAATTTGTTGTAAATCTCAAAATAACTAGAAGAGTAGATTTGGAATCTTGCCATCACAAAGAAATGATAAATATTTGAGGTGATGGATGTCTCAATTACCCAGGTTTGATCATTACATGTTGTATGCTTGTATGAAACTATCACATGTACTGCATAAATATGTATAACTTATTTGTCCATAAAAATTAAAAACTTAAACATTTAAACAAATTTTTTAAAAAGAAAGAAAATCCATAAACCAACCAAACAAAAAAATTCCTGCCTTGTAGGAGATAGATGAAAAGACTTCATTGTTTCTTCCTAGAAATCCTTGTTTTCTGATCTTCATGGTATTTTCTGAGGAAGAGAATTCAGTGTGTCATTATGTTAAGGAGGAGCAAAGGTTTCTAAGCTGAAAAGAGAAATGCTGTGGAAACCTGAGGTGTTAGAGAAACGATAATATTATGCTATCTCTTGTTAGGCCTGCACAGACCTTCTCTCCCACCAGAAACATTTGACAGTGGGACTTCCTCCAGAACCTCGAGAAAAGACTATCTCTGCGTGAGTATGGCTGAATTTGATCAGGCTTCTCTGAGCCTTTAAGGAGTGGTGTGGACTTAGAATTCCCTTGCCCTAATCTGTCAGTGGATGATAATGTCCCACATATGTTCACCTCTATCAGAGACACTTAGTGGAAGAATGTTGGTAATGATAGGGCAAGAGTAAATGAAGGAGAAAACTCACAGAGAGTAGTACTCAAACTCTTTTTACTTATTGGATTTTCCATGCCTGTCATTCAGAAAACAAAACAAACAGGGTACCTTGAGTTAGCAACCACAAAATGTCAGCCATACTCTGGAAAAAGGAAGTGAAAGAAAGTGGCTAGAGCCAGGGCTAACCATGAAACTCCATGCTGCTCAAGAAGAATAAAGGGGATGGAGGTCATAGTCAAAGAGGAAAAATGGCTACTTACAGAGCAATGTGAGGTAGCACCCCTCCAGGAACCCTGTAATCAGAGTGCCACTGTCTGAGGTCTGCCACAGCCTCCAATTGCAAAGAGTACCCTAAGATAGGCTTGGCCTGGAGGGAGATGTGAGTCAAGTGATGGGGCTGGGTTGAAAAATTGAATCTTTATACATGAGTCTTCCTTTTGCCACTGGCCATGCCAGTAAAATTCATCTGCAGTAAATGTGTTTAATTTCATATCACACCAGTGCCAAAATTTAAATCTTACAAAGAGTATGTATCTCCAAGAAATATTTTTAGAGAGATTCTAATTTCATTCATAAATGATCTGAAGAATCTGTTTTTCTGCTAGAGAGTAATTTTTAAAAAGGGTATTCCCCCCTGCTTGTCAGTTCTACTTCTGTAGCCAAAGTAGTAAAAAAAACTTTTGTAAATATTTCTCCCTCATTTTTTCCCGGTTAAACTCTATCTACAGCATGTTTTTTATTTACAAATTTTTTTTACTACATTGGCTACAGAAGGGATACTTTTGCTGATGTCTGCATACTACTTCCTTCCTGGTTTATGTCCATGATTTCTGTTACCCTTGAGTTCCAGTTCAAGCTCCCATATGAAGGCTCAGAGAAGCATAAGTTCCAGCAAACTTCACCACCACGGGCTTAAAGTGCTTTGGGTACTAAATAGACTCAAAAAGCAGTCTAGGCCACAAGGACTGCAATTCCTGGGCAAATCCTTGTGTTGTGCTGGACTCAAAACCAATGGACTTGGGGTACATGCGACCTAGTGAGATATCAGCTAGGGTGGGCAAAGGAGTGCTTGTGCCACCCCTCTTCCAACTCCAGATAGTACAACTCTGGGAGAGAATCCTTCCTTCCACTTGAGAGGAGACGAAAGAGTAAAGAGGACTTTATCTTGCAAGTTGGATACCAGCTCAGCCACAGTAGGATAGGGCACCAGGCAGAGGCATCAGACTCCCATTCCAGGCCCTAGCTCCTGGATGACATTTTGACACACACCTTGCATCAGAAGGGAACCTGCTACTTTGAAGGGAAGGACCCAGTTTTGGCAGGATTTATCACATACTGACTAAAGAGCCCTTGGGCCCTGAACAATCAGCACAGTGACCAGGTAGTACATGGCCATGGGCCTTGAGTGAGACTCTGAGACATTCTGGTTCCAGGTGTGACCAAACACATGCCCAGCTGTGGTGGGTATATGGAGAGACTCCTTATGCTCAAGAAAAGGAGATGGAAGAGTAAAGGGGACTTTGTCTTGCAGCGTAGGTACCAGGTTGGCCACAGTGGGGTAGAGCACAAAGCAGGTTCTTGAGGTCCCCAATTATAGGCCTGGCATTTGGCCCAGTAACTGCTAACAAACGTACAGTGCAGTGTTGTTTGAAGAAGTTTTGTAAGGGAAACGAGAGCCTTGAAGATGAGGAGCATACTGGCCAGCCGTGGAAAGTTGACAATGACCAATTGAGAGCTATCGTTGAAGCTGATCCTCTCACAACTACACGAGAAACTGCCAAAGAACTCAGCATCAACCATTCTACAGTCAGTCATTCGGCATTTAAAGCAAATTGGAAAGGTGAAATTGGAGAAAATATTTGCCAACTATCCATCTGATAAGGGATTAATAACCAGAATGTATAAGGAGCTCAAACAATTCTATAGGAAAAAAAATCTAATAGTCTGCTTTAAAAATGGGCAAATAGTCTGAATAGACATTTCTCAAAAGAAGACATACAAATGACAAACAGACATATGAAAAGATGCTCAACATCATTGATCATCAGAAAAATGCAAATCAAAACTACAATGAAGTATCATCTCACCCCAGTTAAAATGGCTTTTATCCAAAAGGCAGGCAATAACAAATGCTGGCAAGGATGTGGAGAAAAGGGAACCCTCATGTATTGTTGGTAAGAATGTAAATTAGTACAACTACTATGGTGAACAGTTTGGAGGTTCCTGAGAAAAAGCTAAAAATAGAGCTGCCATACGATCCAGCAATCCCACTGCTAGGTATATACCCAAAAGAAAGGAAATCAGTACATTGATGAGATATCTGCACTCCTGCGTTTATTTCATCAGTATTCACAATAGCCAAGATTTGGAAGCAACCTAAGTGTCCATCAGTAGATGAATAGATCAAGAAAATATGGTACATATACAAAAGGGAGTACTATTCAGACACAAAAAAGAATGAGATCCTGTCATTTGTAACAACATGGATGGAACTGGAGGTCATTTTGTTAAGTGAAATAAGCCAGACACAGAAAGACAAAGTTCACATGTTCTCACTGATTTGTGGGAACTAAAAATCAAAACAATTGAACTCATGGAGATAGAAAGTAGAATGATGGTTACTAAAAGACTGGGAAGGGTAGCAGGGGTTATGGGTTGGGGGTGGGGATGTTTAATGGGTACAAAAAGTAGTTGGAGAGAATGAATAAGATCTCGTATTTGATAGCACAATAGGGAGACTATGGTCAAAATAATTTAATTGTGCATTTAAAAATAACTGCAAGAGTGTAATTGGATTGTTTGTAACACAAAAGATAAATGCTTGATGAGATAGATACCCCATTTACCCTGATTTGATTATTATATGTCAAATGCCTGTATCAAAATATCTCATGCACCCCAGAAATATATACACCTACTATATACCCACAAAAATTAAAAATTAAAAAAATTTAAAGAAAAGAATTTGAGGCGAGGACACAATTCAACCCATAAAATCTTGCTTCTGGAAAAATAATCTTTTTTGTATCAGTTTTGTGACACTGTAGGCAGTCCAAAGAAGATGATGGCATGGTTCATGCCCCAGAGTACTTTGTGTCAGCAGGAGAATCAGAAGTGTGGGAGGATGGGTGTATACCTGTGTGTGTGTGTGTGTGTGTGTGTGCGCTCGTATGTGAATTGAAACTATAGAAAATCAAACAACTCTATCAACTGTTATTGTAAAATAATAAAATGGTTTCAAAAAGGCACAGCTAGTATTCCATTGTGGGGGTGGGATGCTGAAGAGATGTTGATTAAAGAAGGAATACATTCTAATGTTCAGTAGCAGAGTAGGGTGACTATTGTTAACAACAATGTATTGTATATTTCAAAATAACTAGAAGAGAGGACTTGAAATGTTCCCAGCTAAAAGAAATGGTAAATGCTCAAGGTGATGGATACCATAAGTACCCTGACTTGATCATTACACATCCTATGTATGTAACAAAACATCACATGTACCCCGTAAATATGTAGAAATATTGTGTATTACCAAAAAAAGCACAGCTTAAAGTTAATTTAGTACTTTGTAGTCATAATAGTTACTTGTCAAATGTTCAAAGCTAACTATGAAAGACTAGTCTAGAAGGACATCATGGTGTGAGTTTAAAATAAATTTTGAAGGAGGAAGAGAATCCAGGTTTAGAGAGAGGAGAGCAGAGCTCCTCCAAGTTGATATGGGCCACAGTGGTTTCAGGAGGCAATGAAAGAGCTCTGAAGTTTGAAAGAATCAGAATGCTATTGGTCATGATGAAATGTTGAGGCAGTGATGTGGACTTGGATAAAGCTGCTTCATTCTTTCAGCATATTTAAGATTAAGTGGTTGTAGAATATTGTCTTTCTTCACTGTCTTCTTCCTCAGACCTCTGCCCTATGAGGTGCTCACTCAGCTGATAGATGAAGCCAGTGAAGGGGATATGAGCATTTCAATCCTTACACAGGTGAGAAGAATTGTAAAGGCTAATCTGGTGATTGATATTTTAAAGTTTGTTTTCAATTGATCTAGCAATTTCCAAAGACAACAAAATAGGCGTTGTGAGACCTGGGCCATTATTTTTGTCTATATCTACTCTGTGTGCAGGAAATAATGGTATATCTAGCCATGTATATTCGAACCCAGCCTGGCCTCTTTGCTGAAATGTTTCGACTTCGAATTGGTCTGATCATACAAGTTATGGCAACAGAACTGGCCCACTCCCTTCGATGCTCAGGTACTTAATTCAGTAACTGTTTTAGGTAGAATTCACTTTTGATGTAGGTTTATAGAGTTCGGAATCAAGAAAGAAAGAAAGCTAAAACATTTTTATCCATAGCTCAAGCTGGATATGGCAGCCTTGTTCCCCTGTTAGTCACTATTTATGCAAGTCAAGGAGCTGATATGATGACACATTTGTGTATCAGTTCTGCAGATTCCGAATGCCATCTCCTGGGGACTCCACTCCAAATCCTTCTTAACTTATCACTCTTTGCTAACTTCATTTCTCTAACTCTGGAGAGTACTTGAGTGTGACAGATTGGGTTGGGTTCAGATTTAGGCAGTGGAGCATCTGTACACCAAGAATGAGTCACAACATCAGTGGATCATGGTGTCAGTATTCTGTCTAGTCACCATCATGATTGAATAAAGGAAGATGACGTTTTCATTAACATCTATCTGACAAGACTCTCTTTGAAATTAACTATAGGTGTATTTGGCAAGATAAAAGTTTTAGTTAGAAGAATAGTTGGGGCCTGTAAAAGCTGTAGGGCAAAATGGTATAAAGTGTGAAGGGGAAGAATGGACCCCTATGGCATGACTCCTTATTCCATTAGTATTTGTTTGATTTCAACAAGAATTGCAAAATAATACAGATAGGGAGGTACAGAAAAATAAAATCAAAATTGTAAAACTCAATTTTAGCCATTCTTTCTGTTAAATTTCCCCCAAAAGGCTTGTAATCGAGCTGTTAACAAGTAGCTAAATTTATCAGTTTGAGTCAAACCGAACTCAAACACATGAGATAATTTATATTTAAGTAACCCTTTGACGGAAGAGAGCTAGCAGTTATTTTATACCTACCATATTCCAGAGACTGTGCTTTTTGCTTTAAGTTTACAGATATTGTATCATTTAATCCTTACAAGAATCCTCTGGAGAAGAAGGTAGTATTGTGTCACTTTTACCAATAAAGAAACTGAAACTCAAGGTTACCTAACATCCCCAAAGCAACATAGCTAGTAAATAGTGGAATTTGAGTCTGAGTCCACCTGATTGCAAATGATTTCCAGTTCAGTACATTGTTATAGATAAACATTATATAGTATTCTCTAGTTGTGGTATCAAGGGATGTTTTGCGAGAGGGTGTGATTGCTCAATAATAAACCTTAATAAGGGATAAGCCCCTGAATATTCACTTTTCCTTAATTGCCTGTTATATTTCTTGTTTTCCTGTGGATTCATGAAAACCATGGCTCTTTATTCCTTATAGGATAAAGTCAAGATCCCTGGGTCTGATATTTAATACCCTCAACAGTCTGACCTTTATCTTCTACTCCCACAGTACTTCCCACTAATTTTGTCAGTTCCAGTCCTTGGAGAGTGATGTCTCCATTGATTTCAAAGGCAATTATTGTCTATACCTCTCATTTGGCACATAGAATATGCAATGTTTTATTGTTTATCATGTTTACATTTTCCATCACTCCCAAAGAGATAGTCAGACTCTCAAGATTAGGTATCATGTCACATACTTGCTTGTACTAATGTTACTTAAAATGATGACCTGCACGTAGTCAACTTTTAATAAATGTATGAGGTTGATTAACATGTTCAGGTTATCCTCTTATATTCATAATTTCATGGATTCAAATCTATATCTCTTAAGTCTCTATTATTTCTAGGCTGAGAAGTTTAAATTATTTTAGCCTATCTGCATATATACATTCATTGCCTTTCTCTGAATGACCTCCAGTTCCATTGTTATTCTTTCATTCTTCTCACCTTCAAATAAAGATTTTACTAAGTATCCTAATGGTGTGGAAGCAGGGCGAAGAAAAAAATCAGTTACCTCGCTAATCCACAAATTGGATAGTCAGTCCTTAAATAATTAAGAATCTGTGGAAGTAAGAATACCTAAGCAGTAGGGTGCTAGCAATTTATTTTGTAATTCTGTTCTTCCAATCAAGTGACTCAGAAATTCTAAGCAAGAAAAGAAATAGAGAAAGTATAGAGAGGGCATGGCAGGCAAATTAGAAGTCCTTCTGTTCTAACATTTCTGCTGACTAGCTGAGGAAGCCACGGAGGGCCTGATGAATCTCAGTCCTTCGGCCATGAAGAATCTCCTGCATCACATTCTCAGCGGCAAGGAGTTTGGAGTGGAACGAAGCGGTGAGATTGAATAACTGCATTTTCATTTCATACTGTTTGGTTTAAGTGTCTCATTGGTTTTAAAATGTTTTTCCTTCATCACAGGAACCTTTTGCCCCAAATAAATAAACTCCAATATATAAAACAGAAACCAAGCTGTCTTCTGGAGCAAGATTTGGAAACCACTGTATTTTTCCTTAAATGATATATCAACTAAGTGGATTGATTATTATCATGTTTCATTTTTAACTGTTTAATGCATTCCCTTACATTATCTTAAGTCTCCACTTTAGGACAACTAGCAACCCATATCATCTGAAACTTTCTTATATTCTAATTGGCAATAATCCAGTAGCTCTTACAGTATTGTATTATGTGTGTAGCTGCTTACGGTACTTCTAATGTAACCCTTTCAACTTTAAACTTACAAATTAATAGTCCACCTGCATTTGTGGTTTTGGTTGGATTTGGCATTGCATACCTAAAGCAGCAGAGCCAATGAAAAGCGGTCATCTCTCATGCTCAACTTTCAGGGTTAGGGTAAGTAGATATATACGGTCAGATGGATGGATGTCAGACCTTAGAGTGGTAAAAGAAGGTTAAAAAGCAGTGTGTTTCAAGCGGGGGATCTTGCTAAAATGCACATTTTGATTCAGTAGATCTGGGGTGGGACCTGAAATTCTACTAACAAGCTCCTAGGTGGTACTGATGCTGCTTGTCCATGGACCACATTTCAAATAGCAAGGTTATCGTTTTTAAATTAAGTTAAAAATAAGGATATATATGAAAGTTTTTTTTTAAATGTGATGGGGGAAGAAATTGAACCTTATTATCCTCTCTCTTTCTCTGTAATCTCTCATACTATGTAGTTCGTCCCACTGATTCAAATGTCAGTCCTGCTATTTCTATCCACGAGATTGGTGCTGTTGGAGCAACCAAAACAGAACGAACTGGGATCATGCAGTTAAAAAGTGAGATAAAGCAGGTAAGATACTACTTGGGAGATTAGCTGGGATATTGCCACGTTTAAGAACATTCTTTTGGAATCAGACTTTGTTGGGTCATTTATTTTGTTTCACATTCTGAGTTTAATTTGAGCCATTTATTTTTCAGGTGGAATTTCGTAGACTGTCAATCTCAGCTGAGAGTCAGGTGAAACAACTAGGGATCATTTAACATGGTTTAAGTTACCTTTAGTTCTATATAACATGCATGAGCTCATGGCCTTTTTACAAATAAGATAACAAGTCTTGGAGTAGATTGTTTGAATTGCCTTTATAACAGTCATTTTGCAAACAGCTTTCCTTTTTCTGGACCAAAGTAATTTGCTAATTTTAGAAGGAAAGTAACTTGCATCTGATAACAAGAACTTGAAACCCTGAGTTTATGTTATTAGGACTGATGTAATTTTGGATTCTGTTATTAGGACTGATGTAATTTAGGAATTAATTTTCTTTATAAAACAAGATGTAGACTTCAAGCAAAGAGTTTTTGCTTGGCCAGAGTTTAGGTTGGCTTCTGAACCTTTTCCTAGGCCCATTTGTGCGCTTTCTTGTAAAATCCAGCTTTAGCAAGAGAACCCTGCTAAGTCAGTTTAGCCAGAAACCCCTATCCTCGATATCTTATCATCCTTGATATCTGATCAGGCTCCCCATCTTCTACCACCCTCAGGTGATATCCAGTCACCCTGGCCTGTCTTCAGCAAAAATCCTGTTAGAATGGTTTAGCCAGAATCCTCTCTACCTCTGATGTTTCTCTCTTAGTAATTTTTCCACCCCTTGGCTATAAATTCCCACTTGTTTATGTTATATTCAGAGGGGAGCCCAATCTTTCTCCCTTACTGCAAGATCTCGTTGCAATGGTTCTGCACCTATTAACAATGGTCCTGAATAAAGTCTTCCTTACTGTGCTTTAACAAGTATCACTGAATAATTTTTTCTTTAACAAGATATACAAAAGGTGTTGTGGACACGTAGAGGGAGAAACATCTAAATCAGTCTGGGAGATAGTGGGAGTCACTAAATACCATGTTGTAGTCTCTTAATTTTTCCTGCAGGTGAGAATAGAGAGTGGTTGCATTATACAAGGAAATAGTTAACAAAATCTTCCATAGCTTATTTTTAAAACTCTAGGAAGTCATGTGGTTTCAAGATCTCCAAGTTGAGAAATTACTAATTTGGCCTCTCCTAGAAGCACATTTTATGAAAAGTTTAAAACTACTTAAAACTACTACTCCAATTTTCAGAATAGAATTATGATAGCTTGCAGTATAGAAACACCTCCAGAAGAGGAGAGGTGAAATGGAAATTTGGAGTTTTATTTTTAGTTTTTGTTTCTTTTTTTAAAGTTTTTTAGCACTGGGGTCTCACTTTGTTGTCCAGGCTGGAGTGCAGTGGCTATTCACAGGCACAAAATCTTGGATTCATGCACTCCTTCTACCTCAGTTTCCAGAATGGCTTGGGACTAAGGCATGACACCACCTTAACTATTTGGTTTTTTAAAAAGAAATTAGAAACCCTTTAGAAAGACAATGAGCCAATGCTTGAAGCTTAATCTGAGGTAACTTGAGTACACCCATCAAATACCCTATGGCGTTTATATTTATGCAAGAATAAGTATGAAAATGGAATAAGAAAGGGCCTTGTGTTCACTTCACAGTGTTCTCAAATAATTTGAATAATCTGAACATTTTCCTATTTGAAACGTGAAAGAACTACATTCAGTACTGAATAGTTAGTTACACTGGCATTATTAGTAAATAATCTTTGATTTGGTTGAGAGTTATTGGATAAACATTTTATAATTGTTGATTGTCACTCAATATTACTTTTAAGTTCATTATGTATTTACAACTTGAAGTACATGTTCCTAGCTAGATTAATATGATGTTGAGACTTGACCTACTCAACTACATCATTTAAGTTTTTTCTACACATTCACTACCTACAGGTTTTCAAGGGAGACAAAATCACTAGGACTGTAATTTAGAGGATTGAGAGTTCTAAATTTGCATTACTTTCTTATTTCTAAATATTAACTTCCATCCTCACCTGCCTGTCTGGTATTTTGTATTGTTCTAAGCCATTTTTTCCCTATCACTCGAAAATGCCCTCTTTTCTTATTATGGAAAAAAAACATTATAAGGGTATTTTTATTTCTTTTCCCTTCACCATGGCTTCTAGAGTAAAGCTATTTCATCAGCTTTTTAATGATTTTGTGCTGACTACATACTGAAATAGTCTGTATTTTTACTCCACTAGTGATGTAAAAGTACAAATAATTGTTTCCTGGCCTCATAGTTTTAAAATTTTATTTTCTCAATTTGTTCTCATAGTCCAATGGTGGTCATCCCCTCGGTATAGATTTAATGTCACCATCTTTTCTGGTAACTGCTGTGATCTTCTCATATATGCCATTCACATGTGCTTTGAATATGCTCTTATATAAATCATGGCATATACTGGTTGACTAAAAAGAAAAACAAAATTAATCAAGAATTAAAGTAAGTATACAGCAATTTCATATATGGGGGTGAATATTTTCATTTATTTTCCAGTAAGGTAGGGAAGGGAGTTCAACTCCAACCTCTTTTCGATTTCAGAAAACAAAATTCAATTATTGGTTAAGTATAAATTCTTGGTCCCACCCTGAGTATACTGAGTCAGAAAGACTGGGGATAAGGCCCAGTAATCAGTTTTATTTATATGATTCTGATGAATTTTTAAGTTTGAAAACCACTGGGTTAGCTATTCTTCTGATTATGAATTCATTTAGTAAATATTGAGTGCCAGTTTTGTGCCAGATACTGTGAACAAAATGGATGTGGTCCTTGCCCTCATGAAGCTTACAATTTAGGAAGACTGACCTCTAATTAAATTTATTTGGTTTAAATCAAAGACTCATAATGGCCTATGATTTCAGATTTCTCAAGCTGAAGAGATTTAGGCTAGACAATAACCAAACAAAAAATGGAAAATTGTTGGAAACAATATTAGTATTTTGGTTAACCTTAATCAAATACCCTGTAATGAACTAATAAGACTTGGCCAACTCTATCATATCCACATTAATATAGGACAGGGGTATAGAAGAAAATTTAAAAACTCAAAATGATTGATATTTGGCTTTGGAAAACAGTCTGAATTGTACTTTATCAGATCTATACCCTTTCTGGTTTGACCTCACAATCAACAGCCTAGAATCTTGGTGATATAAACAAGACAGTGAAGATGAATTAAATGGCAGTTCATCTACTCAACAGATCAGTGCGATAATCACTTGCCAATAGAAATGTTTGGGGGCTCTTTTCTCTTTTACATTGCATTGGTTGGTGATTTAGGCATTTGGCCCAAATTAAAATGTGAGAAGTTATTTTCTCAGAAAGTATGTTATCTTCTATCTTATATTTATTTCTGAATTTAAACTGTTAACCACTTTGCCCAATGTATTTTATCCTTTACTTAGTATAATTGTTTCAAGGTTCATTATGTTTTAGTATGTATCAAAAGTTTATTTTTTTCATTGGTGAATAATATCCTATTAAATTAATGTACCACATTTATCCATTCATCCGTTGATGGACACCTGGATTGTTTCCACTTTTTGGCTACTATGAATAATTCTACAATGAACCTTCATGTACAAGTTTTTGTATGGACAAATGTTTTCACTTCTTTTGGATATATATCTAGGAGTGGAAGTGCTGGGTCATATGGTAACTATGTTTTGCATTCTGAAGAACTGCCAGACATGTCCAAACTGGCTGTACCATTTTACATTCCCACCAGCAATGTATGAGAGTTCCAGTTTCTTCACATCTTCACCAACCCTTACAATTTTCTATCTTTTTTATTATAGCCATCCTGGTGGGTGTGAACTGGTATCTCATTGTGGTTTTGATTTGCATTTCCCTAATAGCTAATGATAATGAGCATCTTTTCTCGTGCCCAGTGGCCATTTGTCTATCTTCTTTAGAGAAATGTCAGTTCACATTTGTGCCTATTTTAATTTTTTTTTGTCTTTTTATTGCTGAGTTGCAAGGATTCTTTATATATTCTGGATACAAGTCCCTTTTAAGATATGTAATTTGCAAATATTTTCTCCCATCCCGTGGGTTGTCTTTTTACTCTCTTAATGGTATTCTTTGAACAACAAAAGTTTTTAATTTGGACAAAGTCCAGTTTGTCTATTTTTCTTTTGTTACTCATGATGTTTTTGGTGTCATATCTAAGAAGGCTTTGCCTAATCCAAGGTCACAAAGATTTATTCCTATTTGTGTTCTAAGGGTTTTATAGAGTTAGCTGTTTTATTTAGGTCTATGATTATGTATGGAGGGGTCCCCAAGATCACCCTCAGATTTAATGATTCACTAGGAGGACTCATAGGACTCAGCATATAGTCATACTCATTGCTACGGTTTATTACACCAAAAGGGTACAAGATGCATTGGGCATAGTGCAAACTACAGTCAACAATAATTTATTGTACATTTTAAAATAATAAAAAGTGTAATTAGGTTGTTTGTAACACAAAGGAAGGATAAATGCTTGAGATAATGGATACCCCATTTACCCTGATGTGGTTATTATGCATTGTATGCCTGTAATAAAGTGTCTCATACCTCATAAATATATAAACCTACTACGTACCTACAAAAGTTAAAAAAAAGATGTAAAAGAGTCATTGGTCAAAGTCTAGGGAAAACAGACACAAGCTTCCAGAGTACTCTGTCAGTGGAGTCACCCAGCAATGAGTTGTGACAAGATGTCACTGCCAACCAAGGAAGCTCATTAAAGACTCAGCACCCATTGTTCTTGTTGAGGGCTGGTCCATAAACAACCTCTGTCTGGCGTGTACCAAAACTCTGAACTCCCAGAAAGAAAGCAAACGTTCAATGTAAACCATAGCGTTTGTAGAGTTTAGGTGTGGTAAGTCACTGTTATTAGTTCTGGGAATGGTGAGAACTCTCCCAGAATCCAAGTTTCTAAGTTTCCAAATGCCAGCCAAGGGCCAACCTTGTAAGCAGGCCTTTCCAAGAATAGCAGTTCTGGCCTACTGTCTTAACTCTTTTCTGCACAATGGGCTTAATTTTTGTGTGTGGTATAAGGTAGAGAGTTCAACTTCATTCTTTTGCATGTAGATGTCACTGTTCCAGCACCATTTGTTGAAAAGGCTATTTTTCCCTCATTTAATTATCTTGGCATCCTTGTTGAAAATTAATTGACCAAAATACAACGGTTTATTTTTGAACTCCCTGTTCGATTCCATAGATCTACATGTCTATTCTATACCAGTATGACACAGTTTTGATAGTTTTGTAGTTTTGATAGCTTTAGAGCAAATTTTGAAATCAGGAAGTGTGAGCTCTCCAACTTCAGTCTTCTTTTTAAATATGAATGTTAGGATCAGCTTGTGAATTTCTGCAAAGATCCCAGCTGGTATGTTGATAGAGATTGTGTTCAGTCTGTAGATCAGTTTTTGAAATATTGCCATCTTGATAATGTTAAGTCTTCTGACCCATGAACATGGGACTATATTTCAATTTATTTAGGTCTTTAATTTCTTTCAACATGTTTTATAGTTTTCAGAGTATTTTTTTTGGACTTCTTTTGTTAAATTTATTCCTACATATTTTATTATTCTTAATGTTATTTTAAATGGAATTGTTTTCTTAATTTTATTTTAATATTGTTGATTGCTGTTGTTTACAAATTCAATTGATTTTTTTATTATAGTAAGACATGTAACATGAGATCTACTCTAAAAGTTTTTTTAAGTGTACAATACAGTATCATTAACTATAGGCTTGATGTTGTACAGTAGATCTCTAGAATATTTTCATCTTACATAACTGAAACTTTATACTCATTGAATAGCAAGTTCCCATTTTCCCCTCTACCTAGCCCCTGACAACTACCGTTCTACTCTCTGCTTCTAAGAATCTGGCTGTTTCAGATACATTACACAACTGGAATCATACAGAATTTGTTCTTTTGTGACTGGCTTATTTCTCATAGCATAGTGTCCTCCAGGTTCATCTACACTGTCATATTTTGCAAAATTTCCTTTTTTAAAGGCTGAATAATATTCCATTTTATGTATTACCACATTTTCTTTTGCCATTCAGTTGTTGATATACATTTAGGTTGTTTTCATATCTTGACTATTGTGAATAATGCTGCATTGAACATGGGCATGCAAATGTCTCTTCAAGATTCTGATTTCAATTCTTTTGGATACATATCCAGAAGTGAGATTGCTGAATTATATGGTAGTTCTATTTTTAATTTTTGAGGAACCTCCATAATGTGTTCTATAGTGGCTGTACCATTTTACATTCCCAGCAACGGTGTATAAGGGTCCTAATTTCTTCACATTCTCACCAATACATGTTATCTTTGGGTGTTTTTAACCATGGGCATCCTAACAGGTGTGAGGTGATAGCTCATTGTGGTTTGATTCGCATTTCCATGATGATTAGTGATGTTGAGCATCTTCACATGTGTGTGGTGGCTGTTTGTATATCATCTTTGGTGAAATGTCTACTCAAGTAAAATATAATTGATTTTTGTTATTGATCTTATATCATGAAACTTTACTGAACGCATTTATTAGTTGTAGTTGCTTGTTAGTGAATTCCTTAGAACTTTCTACATACAAGATCATGTCATCTGCACATAGTTTTTACTTCTTCCATTCCAATCTGGATGCCTTTTATTTCTTTTCTTACTTAATCTCCCTGGCTCAAGCCTCCTGTAAAATGTTGAATAGAAGTGATAAGAGTGGGCATCCTTGTCTTATTCTGATCTTCAGGGGGAAAGCTTCAGTCTTCAACCACTCATTATGATGTTAGCTGTGGGTTGTTGTAGGGAAAAAGTCTTAACATTTATTAGATTGAGGAGGTTCCTTTCTGTTCCTAGTTTGTTGAGTGTTTTTATCATGAAGATGTGTTGAATTTTTGTTACCTTTTTTTTCTGTATCTATTAAGATGATGTGTTTTTTTAACTTTTATTATATTGATGTAGTGTATTACATTAATTGATGTTCAGATGTTAAAACAGCCTTGAATTTCTGGAGTAAGTTCCACTTCATGTTGTATAATCCTTTTAGTATATCACTGAATTTGGTTTTCTAGTATTTCGTGAAGGATTTTTGCATCTATATTCATAAAGGATATTGAACTGTAGTTTTCTAGTAACATCTTTGTCTGATTTTGTATCTGGGTAATATTGGCCTCATAGAATGAGTTGGGAAGTGTTCCCTTCTCTTTTTTGGAAGAGGTTGTGAAGAGTTAGTATTAATTCCTCTTTAAATGTTTTGTAGAATTAACCAGTTAACCCATCTGTGCATGGGCTTTACTACTATGTGGGAACGTTTGTTTATTTGTTTGTTTGTTCGTTTGAGACAGGGTCTAAAGATATTACCCAAGCTGGTCTCAAACTCTGGGGCTCATGCAATCCTTCTGCCTCAGCCTCCCAAGTAGCTGGGAATACAGGCACGAGCCATATGCCCATGCACCACGAGCCAAGCACCCATACTTTGTAGGAAGTTTTGTACTTACTAATTTGATATATTTGTTTGTAATAGGTCTATTAAGATGTTCTCTTTCTTTTTGAGTTGGTTTCGGTAGTTTGTGTCTTTCTAGGAATTTGTCTGTTTCATTGAGATTATGTAATTTGTCAGCATATGGCTTCAGATGGTATGTCCTCATAATCCTTTTTCTTTCTGAAGGTCAGAATTGATGTCTTTATTTCCTCTTTTTTTCTTGGTCCTTCTAGCTAAAACTTTGTCTATTTTGTTGATATTTTCATAGGAAAATATTGGGAGTTCATATGCTTTCCCTATTTTGTTTCTAGACTCTATTTCATTTCTTTCCACTCTAATCATTATTTCCTTCCTTCTGCTTGCTTTCTTTTTTTTGTTTTTTTTTTTGAGGCGGAGTCTGGCTCTCTTGCCCAGGCTGGAGTGCAGTGGCCAGATCTCAGCTCACTGCAAGCTCCGCCTCCTGGGTTCACGCCATTCTCCTGCCTCAGCCTCCTGAGTAGCTGGGACTACAGGCGCCCGCCACCTCGCCCGGCTAGTTTTTTGTATTTTTTAGTAGAGACGGGGTTTCACTGTGTTAGCCAGGATGGTCTCGATCTCCTGACCTCGTGATCCGCCCGTCTCGGCCTCCCAAAGTGCTGGGATTACAGGCTTGAGCCACCGCGCCCGGCCCTGCTTGCTTTCAATTTAGTTTGCTCTTCTTTCTTAAAATGGAAAGTTTGTTTATTGATTTGAGATATTTATCCTTTCTTTAATACAGGCATTTATAACATAAATTGTTCATTAAGGGCTGTTTTAGCTGCATCCCATAAGTTTTGCTATGTTGTGCTTTTGTTTTCATTCATTTCATTATTTTCTAATTTTGCTAGTGATTTTTTCTTAATGCATTTGTTATTTAGAAGTGTGTTGTTTAATTTCCACATATTTGTAAATTTCCTTAATTTCTTTCTGTTACTGACTTCTAATTATGTTGTGATTAGAGAACATACTTTGTATGATTTCTATTTTAAATTTATTATGGCTCGTCTTATGGCCCATGAGAGCAACAAACTAAACCAAGGACCAGCTAGAAGTTTAACAGAGATAATCGGGTAAAGAGACAGCTAAGAACATCCCATATCATCAGTATTTTTATGGCTCTTCTCATGTATCACCAGATTGCTTTCAAAAAGGATTATACCAACGTACAGCACTGCTAGCTACATATAAGTCTACTAGCTTCACTATAACCTCTTGATCTTTGCTGCTCCACTTAATATTTGGTTTATAATTCTGCAGAGTATGTTTATTGTTCACTATAAAGTTCAACGACTTTATCATAGAAACAGAGATAACTTTTGATTGATGTTCTTTCCTCTCCTCTTCCAAGTCACCTGGAACCTCTATGACTCCAAGTAGTGGGTCCTTTCCTGGTGCATATGATCAGCAGTCATCTAAAGATAGTCGTCAAGGTCAATGGCAACGCCGAAGAAGGCTGGATGGGGCACTGAATAGAGTCCCAGTTGGATTTTATCAAAAAGTATGGAAAGTTTTGCAGAAGGTGAGCATAATACATTGTTGATGTCTCATTTTTCCCACTTGAAATTCTCAGTCTCCTTGGCAGGGATGACATGACTGTAATATAATCACTGCAATTATGTAAAAGTCATAACTCATATAGACAAAACCAAGAAGAAAACATAAAAATGAAACAGTTGATTTGTTATTGTGGCATTATTAATAATTTAATCTCTTTCTATTATTGTTGCCATAGTCTTGTTTCTAAATTGGACTTTTAAAATCATCACTTCTCTGCTTTTGGCCACAGTTGGACATTGTGATACATTTGCTGCTAATCAAATGAATTTGGTACTAAAGAGCTAACTTTCTATGTAGCTGTGGAGGGTTGTAAATGTTATTTGTAGCAACGTGCTATTCATAACCAAGTATCAGTAGAGTAAAACAAATGCAGTACTTGGGGAGTTTGTGTTAGGAGCTCTTACCTATATTTTTTCTTGGATGAAAATTACTAAATAAATGCAAAGTCATAATGATGGTAATAGTTCAGAGACTCTTTGATGTGACCAACATTTTTTTTTTTTTTTTGAAGGCCTATTTGGCCAAAGAAATTTAAGGGCATGTCACACTGTTATGGTGTTGACAGTTTTAGAGGGCCAAGTAGACTATTGTGCTCATGCATAGGTCTCATTCATAGTGTCTTAGGTGCCACTTTCTACATCATTGGCTTTAATAAGGACCTGAAGTTCACTTCATCCAGGACTTCAAACCCTTGAGTTATGTTTTTTCCCCTCTGGGCACTGATATTCTTCCAAGGACAGAATCAGGTGATCTTTTGGAAAGGTAAAAGTTGATTCCTCAGACTATGGGCTCTGGTAATCTTCCTTTTGAAGAGTACTGAGAACTTGCTTTTTTTGCAGCTAACTTCTATAGCACAATGGTGATAAATATAATTTTATCTCTTCAGTTATGCGTGGATTATGGCAATGTTCTATGTGCTCATACAGCAAAGAACAAAACAGATAATAATCTTCATTCTCCTTGAACTTATATTCTACTAGGAAGAAACAAATTATAAATAATAAACTGTAAATAAGCAAAGTATCTAGAATGTTAAAAGACAATAAGTACTATGGAAAAACAAGAGCAGGCTAAGAGTATTTATGGGGGGATGGGATGCTTAACTAGAAAATGTAGTAATGATACATGTCTGATAAATGCATGTCTTGATTTCATTTTCATATTAAGACTTCATATTCAGAGAAAAGCACTTAAAATTTAAATGAAAATATATTATTTTGAATTATTCATAAACCAATGTCTCTCATATACAACATGCAATCTACAGTAATTAAAATTGGCATTTCTGAAAGCATTGTTATAAAGATACTTAGAGTTATACCCAGTGACAGATAGTTTTGTTGAATACTGTAATAAGGAACAACAGCCAGTTCTATAAATGACTTTAAAATTCTAAAAGTATTGGTGTGCTAGGAACGACAAATTTGATTTGTGTGAATACTCTTTAAATTCTGTAAAGGTTTTTTTAAAAATTTTTTTATTATTACTATACTTTAAGTTCTAGGGTACACGAGCACAATGTGCAGGCTCGTTACATAGGTATACATGTGCTATGCTGGCCCACTGCACCCATCAACCCATTATTTACATTAGGTATTTCTCCCAATGCTATCCCTCCCTCCGACCCCCACCCCATGACAGGCCCTGGTGTGTGATGTTCTCTACCCTGTGACCAAGTGTTCTCATTGTTCAGTTCCCACCTATGAGTGAGAACATGTCGTGTTTGGTTTTCTGTCCTTGCGATAGTTTGCTGAGAATGATGGTTTCCAGCTTCATCCATGTCCCTGCAAAGGACATGAACTCATCCTTTTTTATGGCTGCATACTATTT